CAATCAATTTTCTTTCCCACTCAACTCTTTTTATTCTTGCAATTAATTATAATTATTCTACGTGAAATATTATAGAACAAATTATTTTAACTAACAATTGTTTTTTATCAATTTCGAAGGAAAAAGATTGTTCAAAAATTGGATTAATAAAATTATACCATTTTAGCAGTAAGGATTTTTTATAATAATAAATATCATCGGTTTCAAATAACATTGATTTAAAAATTTGATGACTAAAAATGAAGTTATGAACATGTGACATCACGAATCATTCTTCAGCAATGTAGATAATTACTAGAGCTATCCAATATTGCTCTAATCTAGTATTTTTTAAAGTTCAGTTTAAATGTAATTTCCTAATTCCTAACATGAAAAAAAATCAATCATCTAATTAGTTTTAAATAAGAAATAATAATGATAATGATAAGGATAAAGAGGTTGTTGTTGCAATTAATTAACGATGTTCATCAAAATTATCTAATGATCCAACAATCAATAAAAGTAATTAAAGTATAATGTTATCGATTACATAATACTAAAGATAAAAGTAAACTTTAGTTATATTAAAATGATGTAATAGTTTAGTTGTAGAGCAATAAGACATGTTTACTCGAGTTCTTTTCTTATTTCTAAACATTAAAGACGTGGTTTTGCGAAACGAGGTAATCCGAGCGGAGGCACGGAGAGTTAATTGCCGCAATCGGATTGCGTGTCGTTGATTGCCGCAATTCGGACCTCAGCCGTTGGAGATCTTCGGGAGCAACGTAAACGCTACAATTATTAATCGTTACCTCGTCCAAAGAGTCCGGCCCGTGAGAAATGCACTTCTAATATTTACGTTCACAACGTTACCACGATAGTTAGTGGGTGGGAAGACAGCAAAGCGTGCTTCAAATTACATTATAACTTCAACACTTTTCCAGGAACTTCATGAAGTTGAATATGTAATACTTGAAAAATTTCCCCTTCGTTGGTCAAATTTTTTTCTTCTGAAACTTTAAAATTTTATCAAACATATTTTAACAATTATTATTATTAATATAATTGTTAACACAAAATAGTTAATAGATATTTTGCACGTATGAATTATTATTGGAATTATAATAATTAAAATAAAACAAAGGAATTAGTACTATGTAAAAAAACAGTGGTGAAATCGATTCATTATTTTTAAATGAATGCCTACAATGTATTTATTTAGCTTTTTATTCATAATTATGTTTTATTTATTTATTTAAATAGAAAATAATTTTTAGTTTTCGCATTTCTTAAAAAAAATATACAATGGATGAACATTTATTTACACGAAAAAAAAGAGTGAAAATTTATTTTAAAAAATAGAATAATTTGTTGTTTTGATAGGACAACAATTTTTTATAACTATAAATAAGTGCATAAATATTTTTATATTGTTTATTATAAAAAATTATAATTATTGCGAAAGAAAAAAGCGCCATAAAGCCAAGCAAATTTAATTGTGAAAAGTAATGACAGTTATTTGAAAAATTGAATTATAGCAAAAATGGCATTGACACTACAGTGGCATAACTTTTTAATTAAATCAAAATTTACATACTTTTTCTGCATTAATTCTTTTTCCATATAGTCATCATGTGACGTTGCAGAATAACCTTCGCAACCCTATTACTGCAGCTTGAAAATTTATTTACGCCAAAAAAAAAAATGTACAGAATATGTCGCGCGACATAAAATCGATCGTAACATCGTTTTTGTCCTCTCTCAGAGTGAATTACGTGACCTATGACCTGGTGCTGACTTTGACTTCACCAATGTCACGTGGCCAGTATAAACGTGACATGCCGTGAAATACCCTTGTAATGGGCAAGCACGAGACATTTGCAGCCACTGAGACACAGAAAACTTGCAACAGAAAATGAAGAAAAAGGTAACATAAAGAAGACAAAAAAGAAAAAGTGGCGACATAATTTTAAAAAATAACCGAGTTCAATATGACTTTTTTTTTGGTAACATTATTGGGCAAACTTATCAATTAATTCCGTAATGAATAATTTAGAAAATAAAAATGTCAATTAATAAAGTTATTTGTAATTTTTTAAATCAAATTACAAATTACTTTGGTCATTGATAATATTTTTCGAGTAATAAAATAATGTTGGAATATGTGTATCAACGATTTAACTTAACTTAAAATAACCTAAAAAAATATTTAATAATCATGTTTAAATCCAATAGAACATCCCTAACTTCTGCCTTATCTCCACTTCCTCTTCACTAATTAATATAAAAATCCGATCAAAGATTTCCAAAAGTCAGCTTGTAAGAAGCCACAGCATCAAGAAGTAGAAGTTAAAGAGGTTTGACTGTGATAAAAAAAAGAAATAAAAGAAGACAAAGTTTAGTGACACTTCTTACCACTGAACGCCATTATTCTCATCTATTACCATGCTAATGCAATTTTATTATCCGCACGAGAACTTGGAATACTCAGTTTAATGTTGTACGTAAAAATATTTTTCCTCAAGCAAGTTGTTAAATTATTTACGACTTGACCCATTCATAAAGACCTTTAATTCATTCATCAATCGTTCTATTGTCGTATAAACGTTCGAGGGAAACTATATAAATGTTTTAAATTCAACTCTACCCTCTGGCACTTACATAAAAGCGTAATACAAGGACAAAAATAAAAACAAAAAAATTGTTATGTTACAATGTGAGTGAGCAGTAGATAGAAAATAAATATTATTACATACATTTGTTGAGTGTAATGTAGAAGATAAAGTTTTATTACTTCAGTTATTTTGTTCTATATTATTTATTACTTTATTTCTATTACAGATATTAGTGTAATAACAGAAAACGTAGATGAGAATACTCATGAAAGTAATGACATACCAAGAAAAAGTAAATAGATATCAGGAAGAGAAATAATGATGCAAAAATATTTTTTAAACGTGGATATCAAGCAGTGGAGTAATGAAATTAAAAATAATATTTATCATGGTGTAGGTTTAAGTTTTTTACAGGTTCAATTTTAGAGAATAATATTTTAATAATCTAATCTTTGCTCATTTTTATTAATTTTTCCTTTATTTAAACTTTCAACTTCAAAAGCACATTGATTGGCTTACATTTCAGTAAATTTACAAGACGCATTTAATTCTATGGAGCTGATGAATTTATTACAATTTAATATACTTATTAACATAGAAAAGAAATTAATTAAATACTTTTAAATACTTTCTTGAAGTTTTAAACATAATAAAAATATAATGCATTACTGTAAGGAAATATTTTCTCTGAGCAAAAAATTAACAGTCGATTCGCGTGATCGAGTAAAATTCGTTCCACTTCGTATAAAGTGCGTTTTGGGGGCGTGAATTCGACGCCGAGGATCAAGATCGTACGGATAAAGCTTTAAGAGAGCGTATATAAGTATGACGATGAGCGAGGGTAAGGGATAGAAGACGACGTTTGCCTCCTAATGGTCGTGCAAGCATGCACGATCTCTCGGGTGCCCAGCAATTACATTATTAATAGAGATATTACTCCCTTCGAGTTTGCCAGCCGCCGATTACGACATTTTAATGTTCGCACAGAGCATATAAGGCCCTTATATCACGTGCACAAGCCAAGAGAGCGTTACGGGGGCGTGATAGAAAGGGAGATTGCAGAGAAGGGGCAAATGAGGGCATTAAGATGAACCTCAGATCGCCGCAGATTGATCGTACTAATCTGTTTCTGTCCAAGACCACACAAGATGATCTCCATGAAATTCTTGTGAACTTTTTAGCGTACTTAAAGCTCTCTTTAGTACTCTCTAAAAATGATACAGTGAAAATCATTGAAAATTACACGATTTTCAGGTGTTCTCTTAAAATAAATCATTAGAAAATTAATTCATCAGAGAAAGAGTTTCATTTTCGCCCCATACAAATGTTTGGCATCCATAATTGATGCTTTGATAATAATGTTATGAGTTACATTAGATAAAGAGGGATGAGATCGCTTCCAAGTATTGGAATATTAGAAATAATTTATCGATATTTTGATACATTGATAAATATCTCGTCATATATTGATCCTATTGAGATCTATAATCAGTGTTTGGAAATCATCTCATTCTTATCCGAAAGTCATAAGTAGGTATGAAAATAATTTTTTAACACGAAATAATTCAACACCAATAAAAATATTTTCTTAGTTTTAGAAATGTCAATTTGAAATTAAAAAATAAAAAATGGTTAACGGTGTAAAACCACATAAGTAACTCCCGAGAAATTGTCCCTGGTCGTAAAGAATGTAATGTATTATAAAAGGTGAGTACTATAAACGTGTACCACTCCCGGCAAAAGACTGACGTGCCATTGTAAAATTGTTCAAGCCTCTGGCATTTGCCGACTAGCCGTAAAGTTAAAAAAAATCGTATGAAGACAAAAATAGAATATTGAAATGAAAAAGTATAAAAAAAAATTGTTACAACCATGTGTTGAACATCGATGTGCAAGTAATTAAGCAAATATCTAAGACTCATTTATTGTTAACACTAGCATGGTGAAATAGTCATGGAGATGCTTTCTAATAATTTCTTTGCAAAAATTTCCTTATGGCTATTCAAACATTTTTCCATCGAAAGTTCAAGTGAACATTTTATTTTATAATAATTACACATTTATTTACAGGGTTCTACAAAATTCGCTCAAAGTTCTTTTGTATAAACTTCATATGACAAATAATTTTTACGTTATAACGACATTCAAACAACCAATCACATGTTAGAAACAACAATAAATAAAAATAACATTTTTAACATTAAAATAAATTGTTACCATATTTGTTTCCAAAACATTTGCATAATTTTTAGAATTTATAATAAATCCTTTTATTAATGCAAATAAATTAATAATTATTAATACATTATAAAAATATTTACTAAATAAAATAAATTACATTTAAATTGTTAATTTTAATAGAAAATATAAAAATAATATAAAAGATGATTTCTAAGTATAGCTTATTCTAACCAGTTTACTAATTTCGATAAATCGTCACGGTTCTATTATTCCAATGAGAAAGAGCACCTAGAAGTTCGTAAACATGACGACCAGGACATTGGGCATGGTAGATAGGATATACTTCTGGAATAATACGAAATTGTTGATGCCCTAGAATCTGATAGTCCTTGCTAATAAATTTATATGCCACTCCGAAGTTGATCAAATCTTTGAAAGCAGCCCATTCTACTGTTGTAAGAAACTGGTCTGAAAAATCAAGAAAATATGCAATAATTAAATCAAAATTAGCAGAAATACTTCTTGAATATATTCATTTGAAACTATCAATTGCGTACTTGTATATGATCCAATGAAAGCAACGGAGACACTGATTGCATCATATTCAGGAATACTGATTGACGATTTGTACCAACCACGTCCTTCATAAATAGCTCCATCTCCACCAATTAAAAAATTATACCTGATATCTCCTTTACTTGTAATATCCTTCTGCTGATAGATGAAATAAATAAGTGATAAGTTTTGATTTTTTTTGTTCATGATATAAATTACAATCTGTTATAGTTTTAAATGAGTAATTGGGTCACTCTTTTTTTATTGATTTTAAATAAACAAATAGAAAATAAAAGAAAATTTCTAATAACAACTATTTGATAATATTGTCGTGGAACTATGATTGTGGTGGGGATTGCTCGATGTAGATCAGTTTTAATTGAACCACAAGAAGTTTAGAGTATTGGATTAATTTTAATTAATACTGATTTTTTTAATAATCGTATGAATGACGAATTTTAAAAATCGACCCCATTATAATAATCGACTCCATAAGGAAGTTAATAATTATGTCATTGAAATAAAAATATATTCATTCAGAAGGACTTATTTTTGTTACAAATATCAAGTATTTAGACAGCTGAGCAACTGCTAGGTTAAGGCGTGGATTGAAAATGCGGATGAGCACGAGATCGATTACTCTCTGAGGTTTTACTGATTTTTAAGTGATTGTAAACTCCACTGACTTATTTACCAAATACTTAAGGATTGACAGTGAAAGGATGACACTATTGCTGTTAAATCGACTGACGTTGGTTTGAATAAATTAAAAATTACCTGCAAATCCTTAACGCATTTGCAACAATCTGCAAAGTTACCGCAATTTGGACCACCACTTTCATGTACTATAACATAAGTACATAATTTTGGTTTGAAGTGACTCGGTTCTCTGATTGGTGAAGCAAACCACATTTCCCTGTATATGATACGTAGTGCTGAAAAATATAACTTTATTAAATCAAAGCTTATAACTACTTTACACTATTATTTTATGGTAATAATTAATGTCAATTCATTTCATCTTAAGCTATAACAATCGTAACACAACTACACTGCAAATCGGAAAAAATTAAGATATTTAATATCTGAACACTTGGATTTGTGGTAATAAAGATAGAGTTATTTATTATTATGAGATAAAAATTTTCACTTACGTGTTATGGTATCCATCATATCACATAAGTTCACTAATATGATACAATTAAGTAGGAGTTTAATCACTCTCGACATTTTACTCGCAATTGTGCGAATAGTAATGCAGCACGACTTTTATCATCATCGTGGATGTTTTCTTACATAACTTATTTATTCAAGTTGATAAAAAATTTTCTTAGCATATTATTATTATAATTGTTTTACACCTGAAAGTTTGTTCAGAGCATTGTTTGACACATGGTATTTCTGGAAACATTGAAATTATTCTATATTTAGAATTGTTGATTTGTGGTACTGATATTACCCATTAATGTTTACTTTAAATATTTATAGTGACTGACACGTGTTGCGTTTGGCATTAATTTTACCTTGATTAAGCTATTTACTTAATTCAACAGGACGATTAATTATTATTTCATGTTAAAAAAAAACTTGTAGAACTTTTTAGGCATAGAATATCCATAATACAAATTAGTCACGTGATATAGACTACAATAATCTTTTAATGAATAATAACAGTGTCAACACAGTGTATGACTATTATTAAATTTCAACTACTTATGTTTTAAAAGTTCAATGTACAATTGATGAATTATAAATTCATCAATTCTGTTTAACAGCAGGTTTAAATACAGAAACTAAGATTAAGATATCACATTGAATTAAATTTTTTGATAAATTTAAATAATTTAATTGTTCTTCAAACAACTACACTGAATAATCATTAAAAATTATCTTTGTATCAATAACTTTTTATTTTCGGAAATGGCCATAAAAAAATCCATTTGAGTTTATTGATAAAAAGATTCTGTAGTGTTTACTCAGATATTGTGTATATTTACTTCAAGTAATTCATTAATTTGTCTCTGGATTAATTCAAACAGTGATACTTTTACAACTGCAAATCAGTGAATAGACACTGTTTTGTAGTTATTGTCATTGGTTTATTTTTAACCTTAAATTTCTTTTGTTTTTTTTTTATTACTGTTAATTGTAGTGAAAAACAGAGCTATCGGCACATGATGCAATTTTATACCCAAATCAGAATATCATACTTTGCTCCTTTGGTTATGTATTATTTCAGTTGTCTAGACTTTAAATAGAATCACATATATTTGTTCAGACGAAAAAAAATCACACATCATTGGGTTAATTTTTAAAATTTATTTAGCTTTAATATTTTTGAATAAAATAAATATGGTGATCTACATTAAAGGAACTTAGTTTACAAGCATTCATAATTTTCTTGAGTCAACAATTTTGTCATTTTTAGTCATGACACCGGCCCAGTTGTATCCAAACATAATTGCAGAAATGACTGAGTCACGAATTCAAGTGATTATCTCGATCCTCAGGAAATATGATCCGGTTGAGAGTCTGGAGGAGATTTCAAGGATTCCTATCAAGTTTTTTTGTTTTTAATGAATCTCTTCAGTATCTTCCAAAAATTTTTCATTTCCTTTTTTGTTCATCTTTCTCATGCTATCTTCTATCTTATCGCGTTATCAGTAATATAAATGCTTAATTAAGGCCTTAATTACCCCTGAATAGACGATGATTTGCAAAATTAACATAAAGACTTATATATCACTTAATTGTAATTGTAAAAGAATATGACAAATTGATCGACATTTTTTTGATTGTTTTTAGAACTCTTTTGTGTTCGAATAAATATATATACTTACTCGGTGATTTAACGAAATTGTTGGAGAGTAAGAAATGCATGTAAAAGCCAACGAGAAAATAATTGATACTCAACGCATATATAGAGAAGATAGCTAGGCAACGTGGCGTGATTAATAAGTCATTCATTAATATAAATGGATTCTCTTGGCGCGAATGATTTCATGATGAATCGACTGCATTTAACGGTGCGCGAACGCCCGGCGGGTGTGAATCGTTGGCGTCAATTTGCTCTTTTAAGTCGTCACTGCGTGCAGTCTTCCGCTTCCTCTTTATCCTAAATCATGGCCTTTTTTCATTCTTTTTTTGTTATCAATACCTTTATTGGTAAAAATTTTCCCCAGTTCAGCGAGCCACTACAACTATGTAAACATTTATCTACTTGTAATAAGCTTGTTGATTCATGGAAAAATTCATTCTTCAGATTGATAAATTTATTAAAAAAAGTGAGTAGCCATTTTTACATTTTTAAAATAAAATAATCGAAAAATAAATTTTTTTTTCAAATAACTAAATTTAAATTAATTTTATCTTTTCATGAATAATTAATTAAATTAAATTTTTTTCTTATATTGAGTTGAAAAAAAAAAGATTTGCACCCACAAGAAATTCTTTCGATAAAGAAACAATTAAGTTCAATTACTAGTAAACATAAATAAATGATTTTTAATCATTCCAAAAAATCAATTCAAAGAACAATAAACCGAGGCTGTCAGAGTGATTTTATCAGATCTCTTATGTCTCTCCATGATGTCGACCACACTGTGAGTAGGGTAAAAGAGTGGGAGTAAAATAAAGAAAGAGAAAGACTTGAGTTTATGAGAGCGGAATGGTGACACCTTGATTGTAACGCGATACTTAAGATTCCGGGTCTCTTTATAATTTCATGACAAAAATACTTAAGAAATTTTATGCAGGAGGTCAATGATCCTGTTGAAATATTTACCGTCATTTCAGCTCATAAATGAGTTGTTTCAAGCCGATGATTTAATCACCTAATCGTTGGAGATGCGGTAGACACGCTTGGAATTTGAATCGACATAGACATCATATATATATATATATATGTTTTGTAGGTATACACTTGGAACAGATTTTCGCTCTTAGTAGATATCTCGACAAGTTTTCGCAGTGATTATCATCCTAAGATTGTTGTCAAGTCATTAATTATCGTGAGAGTCTTTAGTTGGTGCAGTTTTAATTGCGACCTATTTTCCATCTTGGGACAGGTGTTTAGTGAAGTAATGGGCGGTAATAGAACATCGTCTGCATGCTCTCGACCTGCCGAGAGGTCGTATATACTATACAGTGTTCAGAAAACATATAGAAGAACCGTAATGAGATATAACTGTTTCCACAACTCTTTTTCACTGTTATTCTCATTGCCAAACACTTTTTGCATTCCCATGTGTTGTTTTGGTCCTCCATAATGGTAAATAATACCAGACTATTACCTAGATGCGATCCTCCATAACTCTAAATTGCTTTTTGCCAGCTCCAGTGGCTCCAGAAAATCGCCGAATATCATAACTTTTATTTGTATTTAATTATAAATTTTATATTATTACCACTTCCTATTCTTAGAAGAGAATATCACTATATATAATTATAATTCTTAAATTTTTGAAACTGTCGCGTTTACGTAAGCTACGCCTTCCAGTATAGAAGTAGGGATCTCCCAATATCTCCTTTCAAGAACCGAGAGCTCCAAGAGGTAGAACTTAGAGAGGTTTTACTTTATTTAGAAATGTATTCATGTACAAATGAGAAAGTTTATCAATTCAAATGTTGAAATTAAACTATGTCAGATTTTTTTTAGAAAAAGGTAATTGTTCATATGGTAATGATTATTATAATATAACATATGAATTACAATATGATAAGAAATGTCTGTTCCAGACCACAGTAAAATTTTTAGAGAACATTAGTCTTAGTGAATTTTAACGAATGTGAGTATTCACATTTCTACCTTTGTTCTTGAATTCATTCACACTACAGATACACAAATGTCTTTATCACAAAAAATTAGCAGAAGTAGAAATGAGATGCAAACATACATATGTATTGCATAAGATCTGTAATATCTTTTTTACTTCCAATATTCCAATTATTGAATTACATTCTTTCTTCAATATTGGCTAACAAAAATCCCCGAAATCGCAAAACAAAACTGGTCAGAGATGCCCCGGTTCACGGTACTCATACATTGTCGTTTAAAAATAAAAAAATGTAGCTTAATTAATTAGGAAATGACCTTTAACTTTTTGATGTTCATTACTTTCAGCAAGTAACTACGAAGATCAGTATGTAGATGTAAATTTATTTATAAATTTGAATACAATTAAAAATAGATAAAAAATTAAATATCATAATTACAGCTATCGAAGCTGTGTAAACCAGTGAGGGTTTCGGTGAGCTTCAATAAAGAACATCCCAGGCGTTAATACAATTGTAACCGAAATAAATAGATAGAATTGAAATATATTTAGTCATTTTACAAACTCAGTCTATTTTGAGCAAGACACCTGTTTCTGACTCATTAAAATATTCATTTTTTCCCCTGATTCCTCAATTTTCAACTTTGTTGAATGTAATAATAAATAATTCAAAGTTTTCATGTAGTTTACAGAAAAAACATACTGTACCGATAAGTTTCAAGGAAAGTATATAAACGATAATGTAAAAAAAGGTTCGCATGAACGTAAACTGCAGAAATGCCCCTCTGCAGTTCATTAATCAAGCATACGCCCGGAGTTGGAATGCCTTGGTATTTCGAGCGCTGGAGTCCATTTATCACAGACTGGAAACATATTTGTAGGTAGTGGCTGGTGCCCGGCTTCGCTAACAAGTGGATATGCTGTCCCTGTGGATGATGTAGCACCGACTAGCAAAGACCCCCTATGGTGTCTGACACCTCCAACCTTCGAACTCAGTATAATCTCTGGTCTCTCCTCGGACTCCTCTCTCACTGCTTAACAATTATTGACCGATAGATTCGGAAAAACGTCTTTGGCTTTTCTTGATGATGTAAATCAAATGGAGAATGACAGACACATGTGAAAAAGCTTACAATTAATTTTTTTATTCTTTATAAAAATTTACATTTTTTTGTTTTTTAATTCATGACATTCATAAATATTTTTTTGTTTGAAGTGTTGATGAATAATTAAATGATAGAAATTGTTATCGGTGTTGGAATAAAATCATAGAGCAAAAATGTTTATCAAAATTGTAAAGACAAAATAATAATTGCGTCAGTATACTAGAAGAGGATATTTTTAGAATCAAATAAAAACAAATAAGAAGTAATTGGAAAGTAAATAACTAGTTCAGGATGATACATCCTCTTGAATTTTTTTCGCACTATCTGATGTATTCTACCTCTTTCC